GGTCACTTGTCTTCCGGGGCTCCCCATCTTCCAAGTTGTACAATTGAGCCCTTTAAGTGCTATGAACGGTGAGAGTTATTTTGGCTGCGGCTTCCTGAAGATGCCATCCTCTCTGGTATACTCAAGTGTCAGTCAAGCCAGCAGTTTCCACTGGCTGGGTCCAGGAAGGCTCCTGGTTATACGAGGCCCTGTGCTTCAGTGCATTCAGGTTATTTCATCTTATTTATTCAAGACACATTTAATGTAACTGTGGAAGAAAACAACCCGCTAACCTTAACAAGCTGGATCTATTTTTCACCTTTGTCCGTGGGCTGTGGGCTGTGACCCACGCGGCCAGGTCCTGGAGGTTCCCCTTGTGACGAGAATAGCCCCATGATTTCATGAATGAGGGACCTGCAGGGTGAGAGACTTCATTACTGACTCCACTCTGGATCTGGAAAGCGTATTTGGACCTCGCTCTGAACAAAACAAGACTGAAGACTTTGATGTGATATTAACTTGCAATCAAGATGAAAAAGATTAAGTTTGTAAGGCTATCCATTTACTTGTAAATCACTGCGCTGCTACAGTGAAGCGAGCGAATGTGAGAGGGACAGCAGCAGCAGCAAATGTCATCTGGTCTTCCAACTTGGGGAGGGCTTTGGAGTTTAAAATGGTGTGAATATGATAGCCATAGCCATCGGAATAGCTTAAGCAAGTGGAGATCTGTTTGCACCATTGAAAGTTGAGAGCTCAGAGGCACTAATCTGACAAAAGGACGGTGTAAATCAACAACAGCACAACCATTCTGGATACAAAACAAACAAAACGGTTGGGGAGCTAAAACAAAGAGGGAACTTTTGCGTCTTTGAGTCTCAGGCGGCTGCATGAGACAGAGAGTTGGGAGGACGCACAGGCGAAAGGGTAAGAGGGAGACACAGAGCAGGTGAGTGACGGATTTACCCTCGGAGGGGTAAAAAGATGACTGTGGTGTCCCAGGAGAACCACGACGACACTGTGGTCGTAACTCCTTTGTTGCAAGATGCCGCAGACTTGGAAGCAGCGGACCAAGAGTGCAGCGAGAGGGTGGTCATCAACATCTCAGGTCTGCGCTTCGAGACGCAGTTGAAGACCCTCTCCCGCTTCCCCACCACGCTTTTGGGAGATCCGCGTAAACGGATGCGTTTCTTTGACCCACTGAGAAACGAATACTTCTTCGACAGGAACAGGCCGAGCTTCGATTCCGTCCTCTATTATTACCAGTCAGGAGGGCGGATTCGGAGGCCCGTGAGTGTGCCTGTGGATATTTTCCTGGAAGAATTAAAGTTTTACGAACTCGACGAAGAGGTCATAGAACTTATCCGAGAGGATGAGGGTTTATCGAGGGAAGAGGACCGCCCGCTGCCCAACAACGTGTATCAGCGCCAGCTATGGCTCCTGTTCGAGTATCCAGAGAGTTCAGGACCTGCGCGGATAAATGCCATTGTGTCAGTTGTGGTTATTTTGATTTCTATAATTATATTCTGCTTGGAGACTTTACCCGAGTTTAGAGAAGTCCCCGCAGTGCAGGACACTCCCGCCAATGGAAGCGCTCACGGCCAAGAGCCGAGTCCGTATACGGATCCGTTTTTCATGGTGGAGACCCTTTGCATCGTGTGGTTCTCTTTTGAATTCACCATGAGGTTTCTCTCCTGTCCCAGTAAAGCAGTTTTCTTTAAAAACATCATGAACCTGATCGATGTTGTGGCTATAGCTCCCTATTTCATCACCCTGGGCCTCGATCTCGCAGATCATCAGGGAAGTCAGCAGGCTGCGTCTCTGGCTATACTGAGGGTCATCCGTCTGGTCCGTGTTTTCAGGATTTTTAAACTTTCCAGACATTCAAAGGGTCTCCAGATTCTCGGCCAAACGCTTCACGCCAGCCTCAGGGAGCTGGGACTGCTCATATTCTTCCTGATTATTGGAGTTGTTTTATTCTCCAGTTCGGTTTATTTTGCAGAAGCAGAAGACCCCGAGTCTGTATTTACAAGCATACCTGATGCGTTTTGGTGGGCTGTGGTGACAATGACCACAGTTGGATATGGAGACATGTATCCCACCACCATCGGGGGGAAATTCGTTGGATCTTTGTGCGCCATCGCCGGAGTGCTAACCATAGCTTTACCTGTTCCCGTCATAGTGTCAAACTTCAATTACTTCTACCGCAGAGAGAACGAGGACGAGGAAAATGTTAATTACGTGCATGTGACATGCGGACAGCAGCAGCAACAGCAGCAGCCCCCCTTAAGTGAATGTGATTCAATCAAAAGTAACCAGTCGCTGTCCAAAACGGAGTCCTCTCAGGGAAGCGACGACTTGGAGGCTTTGACATATCCAAACGTAACCCCAGTGGAGACATACGGGAGACTGTCGGTTGTATAAAACCGTGGAATACTTATTACCGGTGAGTTGTCTTCCGGTGGACACAGCCTACAATTTAGGCTCCTTCATGTTGGATGCTGCTGTGGTTTTTACGCAAGCTGTCTACAATGGTTCCTAAAGTGGAGCGCCAGATCTTCATGCATACACCCCCACCAAGATGAGGATTGGCTTTAATTCCCTGCAATGTAATTCACTAGATGGCAAGAGAAAATCAATTGGGTAAAATTCAATTGGGGAGCTGTGCACCAAAGCGTCATACTTGTGAGTCCTCACATGAAAACATTTGAGAACCCCCACCTTGAATATTTGAAATACCATCAGCAGTAATTGAGCCAAACGATAACAAACTTTGAAGGGAAATTGAAACATCCAACGAAAAAGAAATGTGGAGTTTTCATCTTTAATTTCTCAGTTATGGCAAATATATATATATTTTAAAAAGCTGGTGTTAACGCACGAACCCAACTTTGCCTTTCTACAGTTGAGAATATCACATAACCTATTTTTAAAGTACCGACGCTTTGAATGAAGTAGAAGTAGAGAGATCAGCCGTGTGTCAAAGGGCACGTAACGCAGACGACCAGTTCTGCGCAGAGGAGCGCACGGCGAATATATCATAATCACGAGACAGAGCTCACTATGAGCGATCGAAAACATCTCCGACTTAACTTTTCTTTGGAGCTTGTAAAATGCTGCTATATGAATCTGACCAGAACAAATTAGCTCCGAGCGCCACTCTGTGGAGGAAAAACATCCCTGCAGACAACACTTCTGCTCAGGCTCTACTGTATGTAAAATGAGTACTTCAGCATGAGTATCTTTGTTTTTGTTGCAGCTGGCATTGACTGATTTAGGCATAAGCCCCTGAGATCATGCTATTTCACTCTGTATGCATCCGGATGCTTGTGATGGTTAACAAAGCTCAGCAGAAGTCTGGCTGCTTTCTCTCACTGTTAATATAGTGGTTTTTGTTTTCTGCTTACTTGCAGGAGGCAGAGGATGGTTTGAAGTTTCTTCCCTCAGAGTCGCAACAAAATAGAAACGTGGGATTCTCTTCTTCTCTACTGGCTCATTTTCTCGCTGATATTTGTGCATTGCCAGTGTTAACCTACAGAGACCTCGTGGAGGAAACGCTTTGAAAAGGTTCAGTCTGCCTTAATGGACAATGTGTTTATAATTAGTAAAAAAGACGGCATTCTATTTGTGTAGGCTTTATTATTGACCACGCTTTCTTTGTTTAAAAAGGCTTGTGTATACTGCGATTTTGTATTTCTGAATTTCCCCTCTCCTAATGCAGCTTTTAGTGCAAAGTTGTGTTGTCACAGTCATTCGGATTGCATTGCGGCTCGATGTAAACGACAGCATAGCCCAAGACATTGCAATGCAACGTCTGCATGACACGAATGCATTGTGAATTTTAAATGTAATACAATATTTATTTTTCTAATTTAAACATGTATGTGAACTTAACTTAATCCTTTTATAAATAAATTATGAATCAGAGAATATACCACTCGTTGTTTTTCACTCCACATATCAGACTTTCAGAAGGCAAACAGCAAGTCATTTGTGTTAAAAAAAGAGAAAAGAAATACAAATCTATTCCCAAATAATTAGTGTAGGCCCACACTGTATCGCTTTTGGCGCATGCTGAATGATTGAAAAAGGCGCAGAACCAGACGTTCGGTTGTCTTGCCACAAAACCAATCAACATAAACTGTCATCGTGATGCAGGGGGATTTATTTGGCTGGAGACACATTTTAACGAATCAGACAGTCTGACAGGTCCGATGACCTGATTTTGTCTTAAATGTGTGTTTTTAGAAAGTCAGACGTCTTTAGGCCCCGGGATACTATCAACCCTTCATACAGGCCCCTCGAAGTCTGATATGCACAAACATATGCGCTTGTTTGTTATAGTACTGTATCGTAATGACTTGAGTATATTCCGGCGTTTGTTTTGGGATAGTTCTTTATGAGGTGAATCTCTGCGCTGTCCGTGGTGCTGAAAGTGACCTTCCGTCCTCTGCAGAGCTTTATGCCAGAATTCCTGCATTTGTCTCGGATGTGTTGGACTTTTGGAGCCACATGCAGCGACGAGTGGAGGCTGAGAAGACACAATAACTTAGTCAGTATCACAAAGTATCAGACACTATGTGTGCAACCTCCCCTGATGTTATCTGTCATAGCTACGAGGGCTGCAAACACATTGTGGACGATATTAGCTCCTCATTGCATTCCAGTAAAGCGATGAAAACTCCCACATAGACTCAGATATCGACGCATAAACAAAAAAGAACTAGAGTGATGGAATGAAAAGGCGATTCCATCTCTCACCAATGTAAGAGAGGCTGCTTTATTAAACATCTCAAATGTTACCCAATGTGGATTTAGAGGTTTTGTTACCAACTGTCCTTCTTTGCAGTCTTATTGCGCCAGTGCTGGCACACAAGCGCTCTTGTTTTTGTGGTGTGTGAAGAACTTCTGGCGGCGTGCTTTAGTAGAGCCGGTCTGCATTGCGTCGAAACCCTCCAACTCCTCCTCCTCCCTCCTTCTCCTGCTGCCCTCCCTCCCCTCTCCTCTCTTTTCCCTCACCTCCCCTGCACTTGCATGTAAAATGCACAGCAAAACTTGCTTGACATTGTGGAGAAAACATTTGGACCTCGCTGCTGCACTTGACTGTCCCTCAACTATTCATTTTTGATTTGTTTTATTCTGCCCTCCGAGCCGCGCGGAAACGCGTCCCACCTGTCATCTTGTCTACTCGCAAAAAGCGGCAGATTTCTGCTGATGCAGTGATGTCTGGAAATGTCAAGGGCTCGCTTATTGCCCCTTAATGTATCTCCCCCCCTGAATTGCAGCGCAAGATTTTTCTCCTGCGGTATACTGTAAGCTGTTCACACCACCGTGCCGCCAGCAAGCACCTACCGACGCTGCAGCTTTGCCTTTCTCTCTTTTTACTCATTTTAATCTCAGGCTTTCCTCACTAGACTCACTTGATTTTCATCTTGTTTTATCTCATCTCGCTTCACTGTCTGTATTTAAAGGGCACTTTGTGGAGGGCACAGTTAGGTTGGCGATGAGCAAAGTAAGGCTGTAGGCTTTTTTTTTTTTTTTTTTTTAAGTATAGGTGCAATGTAAAGTTGCCACATGACACCCACTGCTGCCCTGCTGTTGGATGATTTTACTCGAGGAAAGGACGCATTCAAGACCTTTCAAGATCAGCCCACGGTAAGCCTCGAAACTGCTGACTCGTACAATAATGATATCGGTTAAAACATTTTCGAATCGACAGCTGCTGCTGACGTGAAGATAACAAACAGCGACTGCAATGTTTTTCTATCTCGTAGATGCATTTTACTTATTTTTGCCCCGTAGTGGGCCCATAGGCTGTATGCATGTAGAAACATTAGTTGTAACAGCTGTTATGCGTCACATCATAGTTCAGGCTGCTTTGAGGGCGTAGGATAAACCATTGTCATGGTCCTTTAAGACAACAATATTTATATTTTAAACTAAAGTGCAGAAATATAATATACGTGTATCAGAGAAACGGGGTAAAATACCCAGAATGACTTATAGAATGTAGAAGTGCAAGGAGATCATAGTCACGACTACTTACAGAAATAAAATAAATGTCTATATTGTATAAAAGTCAAAGAAATTCCTCCGTAGGTGTAGTATTTTTACCTTTACTACTGGCCAACTACACTAATGGCAGGTTGAGAGAAGTAAATAAATAAATAAACTGCAAAAAATGCTGAGCCAGCAAATATCTTGGCTGTTTGATTCCATTATTTCCTCTCTCTCTCCCTCCCTCCCTCTCTCCCTGCCTCTCTCTCTGGGTGACAGAGGCAGCAGTAACAACGGCAGCAGTAACAACAGCAGCAGATGCACTGGAGAGCAGCAATGGTCAAGTCAGCGAGAACCGCAGTGGAGCCGCACTGAGGCAAAGCAGCCAACCGCCCCCCTCGTATCTGGGGACGTCTCTGACAATTTAAGGGGTGTGGGAAGCTGAGGAGTGGAAAATTTGTCCCGAACCTGAATGCCTGCTCAGTCAGACTAACCGGGATCCACAACTCCTCCTCCTCTTCCTCTTTCCCCTCCGCCTCTCCCTCCTCCCAAAATGACCGTGGTAGCAGGAGATAACATGGACGAGACCTCGGCTGTCCCGGGACACTCTCAGGACACCTACCACCCAGACCACAATGACCACGAATGCTGCGAGAGGGTGGTCATCAACATAGCTGGCCTCCGGTTTGAGACACAGTTGAAAACACTCTCCCAGTTTCCAGAGACGTTGCTGGGCAACCCCAAAAAGCGGATGCGGTACTTTGACCCTCTGAGAAACGAGTACTTCTTTGACAGAAACCGCCCCAGCTTCGATGCCATCCTCTATTACTACCAGTCTGGGGGGCGGCTGAGAAGACCAGTGAATGTCCCTTTGGATATGTTCTCAGAAGAAATCAAATTTTACGAGCTGGGTGTGGATGCGATGGAGAAGTTTCGTGAGGACGAGGGTTTCATCAGGGAGGAAGAGCGTCCTTTACCTGAGAAGGAGTTCCAGCGTCAGATTTGGCTCCTCTTTGAGCACCCGGAAAGCTCAGGACCAGCGAGAGGGATTGCCATAGTGTCTGTGATGGTAATCCTGATTTCAATTGTCATATTTTGTTTAGAGACTTTACCACAGCTGAAAGAGGACCCGAGGGGTCGAATGGTGGCAGTTGGGAACACCACTGTTTATTACAAGCCAAATATCCTCACTGACCCCTTCTTCGTCATTGAGACACTCTGTATAATCTGGTTCTCCTTTGAGTTGATTGTACGCTTTCTGGCGTGCCCGAGCAAACCGGCCTTCTTCAAGAACATGATGAACATGATCGACATAGTGGCCATCATCCCATACTTCATCACGCTCGGCACCGAGCTGGCCGAAGATCCAGAAAAAGAGGGAGTGGGGGAGCAGGCAACATCTCTGGCCATACTCAGGGTGATCCGTCTGGTCAGGGTGTTCAGGATCTTCAAGCTGTCGCGACACTCCAAAGGACTGCAGATTTTGGGGCAGACCCTCAAGGCCAGCATGCGAGAGCTCGGATTGCTGATCTTCTTTCTGTTCATTGGGGTCATCTTGTTCTCCAGCGCTGTCTACTTTGCTGAGGCAGAGGAGGACGGATCCTACTTTGGCAGCATCCCGGATGCCTTTTGGTGGGCTGTTGTGTCTATGACAACTGTGGGCTATGGGGACATGGTGCCGGTCACTATAGGAGGCAAGATTGTAGGATCTCTGTGCGCCATCGCCGGAGTGTTGACAATTGCGCTCCCAGTGCCTGTCATTGTGTCCAACTTCAACTACTTCTACCACAGGGAGACCGAGGGAGAGGAGCAGGCCCAGCTGCTCAACGTCAGCAATCCCAACATCCCCTCTGAAACCAACTCCAGCCGCCGTAGTTCCTCCACCGTCAGCAAGTCAGAGTACATGGAGATCGATGGAGACATAAACAATAGCATCGACAACTTTAGGGAGGCAAACCTCAGAACTGGCAATTGCACTATAGCCAACCAAAACTGTGTAAATAAAAGCAAGCTGCTTACAGATGTTTAGACACTAGTTAGGAACTTTGGGATCTCTATGGGACTGTCATATGTGGAGTAGACCATCAGTTAGGAATGCTTCATTTACCTCCCCAAAGCGCCCTATGGCAATAGGCCGACAACTATGCTCAGCTACGTAGAAAGGAAAGATCAAAAATCAAAGCTCTTAGAGTATATGACAGGTAGATAGAATAATTAATTCTTCTGATCCTACAAATATATAGTTACATCAAAAAGAAAACATCAACTATTACGCATATACACGGCTCCCTGGAGGACGCAGAGCACACACCGTCTCATCAGACGACGGAGTGATGATTCAAATCTTATGCATGGAGTACAGATAACATTTCAGCAAGTTGCACAATGCACCAGAAAAGTCTGCAGAGACATGCAAGCACCTGCAGCCAAGTGGTAAGCGCCAAGAAGTTAGGTGACCCCCCCGCTCCCTCCTCTCTCCTGACTAAGGATATCTACTATTCAGCAAAGCACCTTATAGGAGGAAGACTGATCTCTCTGGTTTGGATGTAAACAGATGGTGATCTACTCGCTTCACGGACATCCGCAATGCTGCTGTTTTCCAGCAGATGCTGTAATTGTGATATCACCAAGTGATTCAATGCCATGCCCTTTAGATGCAACACAGCACAATGTTAAAGTGAGCTTCACACGAGCATGATTAGAGACTTTCCATTTTGATATCGGCATGCACGGGACATATCTCACATATTGGAAAGGATGTTCTTTTGGATACCTGCCTCCACCCCCCCCGCCCCTCCCCCCCTCCTTTCTCATCTGTTTTCATACAAGTGCACTGGATGAGTTTTTAATTTCAAATGCTAATCATTTAGAAGTATAGAAATTGAATGTTAAATCTTAAGGGAACAGTACATCAATGAGATCATAGCATGAAAAAAGTAACCTGCATTATGGTCTATCGACTACGGTACGTTTGTATCCTGGTATATTTAATGCATGACATGAGTATTCAGCTTGTTGCAATTCAGGCACTCTGCAGTGTCCTATTGTCAGGGAAGCTAAGGAAATCAAATTCTGGATGTTTCCAAATTGCGATCAAATATATCCAAACACACCTTGAGGATGCAGAGTTTCGAATTTAAAAGTAGTCAAAGAAACTAAATAAATATTATCAAAAATGCATATAATTATAATAAGCACCAATTACAGTATTACGTCAATAGTGCAGTGCATGGACCTTCTTTGAACAAGAAAAGTTAACATATCATTACTCATGCTTCCATTTCCACATCAAATTTAAGGACATATTGGTTTGGAATCCACTAAAAATGGATCAATACCAAGTTTCACTTCATATTACAGAGAATTATTCAGACATTAGTTGCTAGTGCCTTTATCCCTTTCACCAACAGGACCAGTGAAAGTGCCTCTGTGTACAATGGGATTTGTGAGGTTGAGCAGAGCTGGTTTACCTGCTATTCTAGTGTTGATACACTGTTGGTTATGATGTTAATGATGCGACATGAACAAGGTTGATACAGCAGGTAATTGTGGTAAAAAACAAAGAGAAAAGATGATCCATGGCTGTTATGCACAACCCAGTTTTCATGCCGTCACGCACTTAATTATGCCCTTAAGCAGCAATGTATTGTACTCTGCATGTTTACCAATCCAATTGAAAAGGGAATATCCATATGTTTTAAACATATTTTATTTATGTCTATAGTTTTTGTTCGTGCACCATGCATCCTTTCAGGGTCTCTACCTCAGTGAGGTCATTGCAAACTTGCTGCAGAGCTGCACGCTTTAATGCAGGGCTTACTATACCATAATGCAAAATGGAACCTTAAGTGTAAACTGCAGACATGCAACATTGAATGTGAGAGTCCCAAAGCATAGCCTTTACACAAGCACTTAGGGCAAGTAGTGTACCACAACCCCGCTCCTTCAGTTCACTTAAAGCTACGCACAATCAGAACATTCACATGTAGAGGGTTTGTAGAGATTGCTTGACTCTCTTATCGAGATGAGATTGACTGTTTTATATGTTGGTTTCTTTGAAAACAATGGTCTCTAAAGTTACTGTTGTGTCACCTGAATGTGTTCCAACAGATATGTGTATAAGGCAGTGGAAACGTTTGTTGTTGTTTTCAAATCTGTCATCCTGCAATCCTTGGGCATTATGATGCACGGCAAAGTGCAGCCCGTCTTTTTGCACAATCATTTTGTTTTGATGCATGAACCATTTATTTTTCTGCCAGTGAGATATTTATTTTTCACTGTGCTTATACTCATACGCAGTGCATTGTTTCTCAGCATATTGTTCCAAACAGACTAACTGCAGATAGATTTGTAAAAATTGTAATGACTACTTGAAAATCTCCAGCTACTGTACATCAATCTACACTCACTATTGAGATGAATGCACCCAAATGATAGTAAGATTTTTATATTGTACTGTATGATTTTTTTGATTTATTTAATTAGCACTCTACCGACAAGGTCCTGTAAAAAAAGAAGCTCCACTGCAGTGCTACTTGAATGTCATATAGTTGTTTCTGTTGGTGCAATAGCTATTCTTTGTGGTGCTAGTACAGGACTACCATTGTTGTCTTGATACCATCACACGTTATCTTGGACTTTTTCCATTCTTTAATCCTTGTTGCTGTTTTGGTATCGGTGGCTGGTTGGTTAGTTTAGGGCACTGTCATTTTATTTGGTTGATCTTTGTACTGTACTGCTGAAGAGTGTCTGCCTCACGCGAGGTAAAAATTCGACAGCCTTGCTAGATGTCAGCCACTTATCATGAGAGCAAAAAAGATACACATTTGTGTCAGGGATCTTCAATTTGTATAGGGTTTCTCATAGAGGACATCAATAATACCCAATACCATATGTTATATTACTATATATAGATACAAGGAAATTATAGTAGTCGTATTAATGCAGCTATCAGGAAATTGTTTGCTTTGTTCACAAGTTTCTTGTACAGCTGATGTTTGAAAGTAGTGATGTGTGTAACATGTCCTGCAGAGAACAGCTGAAAGTGAGGTGAAGAAAATACAAATGCCCTCACATTAGCAGCGCTGTGAGGGCATGTGTGAAAGGTGCTATGCATTCAATTACCCAACAGAAACATGCATTCTTAACAGCAATAGAATAACAAATACTGAACTGAACTGTTTCTTAGATGCTTTTTGTAAAAAAAAAAAAAAAAAAACGACACAGGAAAAGAAATCTATTTTGAATGTGGGAGAAACTGCGATGGCTTGACAGATAACTCACAACAGGGCTGTTTATGTACCAACCAATTACCCTCTGTTCTGTGATTTTGTACGGTCAGGCTGACATTTTATCGAGAGAAACCCGTGAAAAGTCCAAATATAGTCTTTGTAATAGTGGCAGTCCCCATTAACCACCCAGGTCGGACTGGAGTAGTTTTGCAGTCCGGAACAAAGGCTGCTGAAGCGTTCAGTCGAACGTATAACACAGTCCCAAAGGAACAGCTCATAATGCACTTAGAGAGGATCTATCGTCAGTCCATTGGACTGATCAGCTGTCTGAGAGAAAGTCAAAGAAGGTGCCTAAATTGTTTTACATATTAATTTGTTTAGCTTACTGTTAGATGTTAATGCTTCTGCAAACAAACACGAGTGAGAAGATCTAAAAAAAATGATGACATTAACCTAATTAAACTATAAGAAAAAACATGAAATGTCATGACTACAAAATGCAATTTAGCTACAATAAGATAGAAAAAGTAACCACTATATACTGCAATTACGTATGAAAAACAATTTTAATGTGTGTTTTTATTTTCTCCATTTTTTTGGGTGGCACTGTAACATGAATGATTTAGGAAGAACATGCCATATACTGGAATATCAAAGACAATATGTTCCACTGGCAAGCCATGATAATGAAACTACTGTTTTATGATCAATTGCTATACACTGAATGGTATAGACAAGAGGTGTAGTATTATAGAAAAAAACTCATTGTTTGTCTTTTTGGTTTTAAGAAAAAAAAAGGATTCATTGAAACACCATGTTCACATTTTTCCAATCTCCACTGCTGAACCTGCTGCATAATGTATCTCTACAGAAACCTACTAATCGCAAAAAACTGCATGGTCGATGGAAGACTGCATGAGTTTTGCCTTTCAAACTGTGGATCAACTTTAGTACAGTTGCCTCATTTAAAAAAGAAACCCTTGCTTTCATCTGCACCAAGGCTTCCTGTAAGGCCCTGTTCGAAAGTTGTCCAGAAACGTGTCCTCTGCTGGATTTCTTAAAAGCACCTTAGCGCTGACCTCATCACTAAGTTGGGTATCCGAGCCGTGCTCAGCGTCTGTGTGTGATTTTCGGGTTGTGCTCGCTCGGCTCTGAATGTGAGCCAGGACATTAAGGGCTAGTTTCTCAAACTCTATCTCTATTTTTGGACTGAAATGCTCTTTCAAGTGACATTTTGCCCATTCTTATCTCAGTCTAGACTGTAGTGATACTGTGTTGTTGGAACATGCCCATCATGTCTAAACAGGGCCCGTGCCACACACCCTCCTCTGTACTACATTGGTTTCAAGGCATTCTTGTGTGCTAAAGGCGTTGATGTTGGACTGCTTTCTGCCTGCTGAGGAGGCACTGAACAGGATCAAATGTTGGGATGTCGCGTACCTAACTCGCCAAAGGTGATTGTCGATGAGAAGATTGTGTTTGTGTTAGAAGTGTGATGGCTATGAGTTAGTCTTTCCTGTCAAGAATGCACATTTAATTGCTTGTAGGGGAAGTTTTGGAGCAAAGTGCAAAAAGGACTGTTGAACTCTTCTGCTCTTCTTTTCATCCTCAAGCAAACCAAACTCTGATTGTGTTATCTAATCCAGCCGTCATTGTCATGTTGTGTTACCAAGGATTATGCTACAATGTGTTCAGTTTGTCAGATGATGACAAAGGCATGGTCTGTGATCTATGCAAGGGTTATTTATTTATTTTTTCTTATATCACTTATGATTTCATCTTACATTAACTTCAATAAATTTTTAAGGATCTGCTGGTGTATGCTCATTTCCTGGTGTATGCTCATTTCGGGTCGGTTTGGGGGTGTATACCTGCACAAAAATCCCACACAAATCAGAACATCTGCAGAAATATGCTGCAGTGTGTATTCTGGCAGAACCTGAGGTCTCAATCTAAATGTGTCCTACCTCTGTGCTACAGTACCCTCTCACTGAAGACATTAGCGGTGATTCACTGGGCAAAGGTAATGGTTACACACTAATCCTCCTGTCCCAGGGGAGGCCCGCTTACCTCTGTCATTCCCTTCGAGTTGTTTCACCTCAGGGGCACGAAGAGCTCCGCTCCACTCTCTGCTTCCTCCTGTAGTCACACGGACACATGCTTAAAAACATTAGAGCATGACTCTGAGGCGCTGTGCATCTGCTAAGTGTGGGATTAGGAAGTTATTAGGGCTGCAACTAACAAGGACTTCATTAATGGTCTATAAAAAAATAGTGAAATACTCCCATCACAATAACTCAATGCCCAAGGTGACGTCTTTAAACTGCTTTTTCTGTTGTGAAACCTAAAGATATATCACATTAAGACAAACAAAAGCTGCAAATCCTCAAATTTGAGAAGCTGGTAAGGGAACTTTTGGGATTTTTGCTTAAAAAAAATATTGAAATTGAGTATCAAAATAGTTGCTTCCGAGTATTTTTGAGATACTGAGTTAAGTTTTTTTGCCATCCATTTACTTAAAATACAGCCTTTTCAAGCATACTCTTAAACATCTTGTACACTAAGAAGAGTGTGATTTTGACAACATGTCAGATAAAGCCGCAACAAGAGAAGGTCTCTATTTTGTATTAAATACATGCAGCAGTCGAGGGCAGTAACCCCGAGACAGCGAACCAACAAACTCATCCAATCACAGAGCAGTCGAGGGATGAAACTGAAAGAAGTGGGTGCAATTTTTGAGTTGTGAAAATGATTCATTCCCACTTCTGTCCTGTGATGGCGTGAAGCTGAATATTTGTGGAGAACATTGGACAGCAGAGGCATCGCACTGAATGCTGCAGCTCATGTGTCTCTCTCTATCTGTCCATCTGTCTCTGTCCCTCTCAGTTTCTCTGTCCGCCGCAGGCTCTCTGCTGTCTGCAGCCCGGCTCCGTTTGCTGTACGGTGACCTTAACAGAAGTGAGCCTCTTCTTCTTCCTTGTCCTCTGCATTGCCCTCAGGAAATGCAGCACTCCTCACTCTGCAGGCAGCAGCGGTAAGGGTGGGGTGAGCTGGCGCCAGTCCCACTCTTCTTGCACACACAATCTCTCTCACACACTCTCTCTCTCTCTCTCCCGCTCTCTCTGAGTCTGTCTGTCTTTGTCTCTCACTCTCCTGAGTGCTGTGAAGCTTCACTGGACCGTAATATTACAGAGCATCGTACAAAAGAGGAGCTCAGTCATATAGAGGATGTCACACCTGCTTTTATTAGTTTTCTCTCTCTGTGTTGTTATCTTTCACTTACCTGTATGCACACACAAACACAGGGATTCAGCCAGACAGCAGTCTACATGCTGACTTTTACTTCTTCCATGTCCTCCATGACCATTCGTAGTTTTTTATTTTTTATTTTTAAAGCTGCACTAATCACTATTTTCATATCAGCATAGGAATAAATGACTGTGTGATGTGAAAGTCGAATCCGCAGAGAATTACAACCAGACTCAGCTCTAAGAAGCAATGTAGCGTCTTTCAGCTCATTGTTTTGGTTTCAACTTTACTGCGTTGGTTCAGTCTCCCTGCTCTCATCAACACCATCCCCGGCAGCAGCAAACAGCTGTTTTCAGTCTACCTGCCAAGCACCAAAACAGAAGAAACAGTGATAAAGTGGTAATAAAGCATGTCAGATCAATGAGTAAACATGGGACCATTCATGGTTCTTTTGATGGATTTGTTTGCAACAAGAAAAAACATAGAATATCGAATATACTCTACAAAGTTGACTTCGTACACTTCCTGGTGGACTTTCATTGGACGTTTCGGGACAACCTGTGCACCCAGGTGTCAGCCTCCACACGCAAATGAGAAACATGTAATTGAAACTGTGTCTTGGTAACTCCTGATCAGCATGTTGGACTAATTAAGACTGTCGCTTAATGCTCTATCTTACAACTGCCTGAACACAATGGCCGTCAGCTGTGTGTTGTAATCAAGGAATGAGTGTTTACAGCCATGCCTGCATGCAAATGTACAGTGGCTGCATGTGCGCATTCCCTCACTGCTTCTGTCTTTCAATCCGTTTTTCTCTCACACACGCACACACACATTTATGGTGGGAGATTTGCCTGCGTCAGGCCTCAGGCTCACTTGATATTCCCCGATTGATTTATTTGAAGATAGACACTCATCCTATATCCCCGGTACAAAATGCCATTCCTGTTGACGTCATCCAAAAAGTTTCTCAAGGGGCTTTTCACTGTGGCCTGATCAGCTGTGCATGCACAGTATCATATCATTACTCTATATCATATCACAACTGTCCTCTGGTGCTGGCTTTATCGTTGTGTAAAGCCAAATGCACAGTAGTCCACCTCTAACCGCCTCATATAGAGTGGGTTCTGAATGTTAACAATGTGCAGAATAGCTTTGACAGCATTATTGCATCTCCCATGCTTGAGCCAAAACCCTTGGGCCTAACACTACCCCACCCCCGGGTCCAAGCCCACCAACCTCTCTTATCCCCCCCCCGATCCCCGAGGCCCTCTTTCTGGCCCACTTCCTCTTTGCATTACCTCCATCAGGCCAGGCTGCTGACACACATGTTTAATAATTAAGGGCACGTCCATAATTTCCTCATCCTTGTGGAAGTCCACAAATGGTCTCTGTGAAACTCAGGCCAGTTAAATGTACCTCTTCAGCCCTTCATCGCTGTAGCGGTTCGGAGTAGATGATACAATCCAGCGAAGGTGTTAGTGGAAGGATCAAAAATAATGACTTCATCCTGAATTACCCACTCATCTTTCTATCAGTTTATCCAATTTCCATTGACGTAGACACACTCACACATCCTGTGGTGTAGTGTCTGCCATCACACCGTGTTCTAGGAATAATGCATGACAGAGTACATTAACTATAAACAAGCATCGATAAGTCTGATTGTCCAACGTCCCTCCGTGTGCCCATAAAACAGTCAATCTATAAACTGATGAGACCATCTATTCATCCACTCATGCATGAAAAGAAGCAGTGCTGCAACAAGAGCCTGCAGCCGCGCTAGCAGCTCTGAGAGGCTGTACTTTGGGACTGCTAAATGCTAACATCAGTATGCTAACTTGCTCATAATGACAATGCCAACTTGTTTAGCAGGTAGGACATTTGCCATGTTCTCCATCTTAGTTTGTTAGAAAGCTAACATTTGTTAATACGCATCACACAAAGTACAGCTGAGGCTGTTGAATATTTTATTAGTTTTGCAGGTTTTTAAACCAAATTATGATTTGATGCTAGATTAAAGGTTTAGTAATCACCAAAGGTATTACAATTCATCCTGAGGGAAACATGAATGTCTTGACCTAATTTCATGACAATCCAGCCAATAGTTGTTGAGACTCAAAAACACAAATGTCAACAACATAGTAGCACAAGAGGAAAAGTCAGAGGATCAACAAAGTCAGTAGGATCCTCTGGGGACCAAGCCCACAGGAAGAGCACATTTTCATAGTGGTCAAAGTGTAGAGTTACAACGTCACGTGATGCCACTGGGCCCAAATTCCTGTTTTATTTTGAAGTTCCCTGCCTCTTATGTCCTGTGTTTGTTTGATTTCCTGTCTTTTGGATTTCAGTTTTGTAACTTTTGGACTCACCTGGCATATACGCTTTGTTTTGGACATGTATTTATTAAAATCACTGTTTATCATCCTTCTGCTCCCGGTGTCTGTCTGCATTTGGGTCCATCCCCTGTTGTCTGTTTGCCATACCGTGACACCAAAAAGAAGAAGATCAGAAGATTTGTTCAGTTGGTTTAAGATTTAAAGATGCAAGATCAGAGATTGGGAGCATTTGTATTTCCTTGCGACGGCTCTCAACATGGCCGGTGTTTCCTAATTAACGTTTCACCTGAGGGGGAAGCTCAGACAGCAACACACACAGAAGGAGAGTGACTTCATTCTCTGCTCAAGTAGATGTTACTCCATATCTTTACATATCAAATAGTTGTTTGCTGCTATATTAATGAAAATGTTGTATACAGCTCCTTTAAGTACACTTAATTACTTGTTTATGGACATTTTCTTTCCTACCATCTCTCCGGCCGTGGTAGAATTTGTTATCAATGCTCTCAGTCTGGATGTGTCCTTGTGGTATCAGGCGATGCGGATCTCAGTTTACATGCTCCCCCTGCCCAGTGTGCAGTGTCAGCATGCTTGTCTGGGGGAGAAAATTCAAAACTTAACATCAACAAAAACCGGCACAGTGACCTTCCCTCTTCAATTACATCACCGCACAGCGCGCAAAGGAAACTGGCATATACGAAACCACAAAAGGATATCACCATGAGGCACGAGGGCCGTGCTGAGATACACTTGCTGACTGTAGTCTGGAGCAACAACAAAGGTCACTGTAATGCTAGAAAGAGTGTTTCGTAGAATGCTAAGTCAAAATTACTGATGATCTTTTCGAGGATTAGTTTAACAATTTGGGAAGTTGTTTTTCTTGGCAAGAGTTATTTGAGAAAATTGATGCCACCCATGTGTCTGTAAATTAAATATGAAGCTACAGCCATGAGCAGGTTAGCTTAGCATAGCACAAAGACCGGACACAGCAGGGAAACAGCTAGCTTGATTTTGTCTAAAGTGCTAATTGACACTTAACGATCGTGGCCCATAACCCATAAAACCACAACTTGCCATAACTTTCAGTTTTTTTACAGATTTAAGAAAAGATACAAAACATTTCTTCTAGGGAAAAAGCCAAAAAAGGAAAATAAAACATGCGTGGGATGTGTCTTTCTCTTGAGGACACAGAGACATTGTTGGACAAAACCCACTGTCCATGT